TTTGTCCTTTTGTGGCAATTGTTAATCCAAGAGGTGGATTACGTCACCACGTCACTAAAAATAAAGTAATCCCCACGTCCTTCATGCGCGCGTGAGCTGACTCCTCCCTGAAAAATATCTAAACCAACGGCCCAGGACGTGTACCAAAGGACGAAAAAAGCGGAGGCAAGTGGGTCCCGTCTCGTGACACAGGAAATTTCACAACCCGGCCTGATTTGTGCCACGATAGCTCCCGTTACTGTACAGTCCGTCCTGCTATATATATTTCGGTGCTGCCTCATCTCTCAAGAAAAGCGTTCGTGGCACAAACACACCCTACTGCCTCTTCTCTGAGAAACAGAGCGAAGGAGAAAGTTACAGTGTACGGCGGCGGCGGAGAAAAAGTTTATGGGATGGAGACTACTAATAACAATAACAACAACAACATAATACCGCCGTTTGTTATGAAGACGTATCAGATTGTCAACGATCCGACGACTGATAGGCTAATCGCCTGGGGCAAATCCAACAACAGCTTCATCGTCATCGACCCTTTGGATTTCTCTCAGAGGATCTTACCGGCGTACTTCAAACACAACAACTTCTCGAGCTTTGTCCGACAGCTGAATACTTATGTGAGTAGATGGGAATTGAATTGTATTATATTTAAATTTAAATTTAAATTTAAATATTTATTGTTTTTTTTTTTTTTTTGAATTTACCTTCAGGGGTTTAGGAAGGTAGATCCAGATAGATGGGAATTTGCGAATGAATGGTTCCTCCGAGGGCAGAAGCATTTGTTGAAGAACATAGTGCGCAGAAAGTATGCTCGGAATCAATTAATTCAAGCTAAAATTGAGGATTTTGATGAAGATGAAATGGTCATGGAGATTGCTAGGCTAAAAACAGAACAGAAGGCCTTGGAAGAAGAATTGAAGGGGATGAGCAAGCGGCTGGAGGCGACGGAGAGGCGGCCGCAGCAAATGATGGCGTTCCTCTGCAAAGTGGTTGAAGACCCCGATCTTCTTCCTCGCATGATGCTTGAGAAAGAACGAACAAAGCAGATTACGGCCGAGAAAAAGAGACGGTTGATGATATCCTCGACGTCGTCTTCGTCTTCCTCCAGAATGGCTCTGTCGGGTTCAATAAAATCTGAAGAGGAAGAAGAAGGAACGGTGGGGGTAAATTCGTCACCGGAGACCGGATTTGATATTGATAGCTTTTGTCAATATTCAAGTGATCAGTCATCCGCATCCCCTGATAACTCTGTTTCTGTTGCATTTCCAAGCCCTGTACCGATGGTAGGGAAGATGAATCACGGTTGTGGACCGGTTTCGAGCAGGCAATTACCGGTAGTAATGACGGCGGCAGGGATAGGAAACAGAACGGTGGGCTCTTCGGCAGCGAATATTAATATTGTATCTGGGTATAGTGACAGAAGCATAGAAATGGGTTATTTCGGAGAAATGGCGGCGGTGGTGGAGGCAAGATCCTCACCGCCTTATCCGTTTTCATTGTTAGGCTAGACAGATGGCTTTTAGAGGTTGCTTTTCATGATATATCATGAATTCTATCTTCAGTATTTGAATTTTATTTGTAGTTTTAGATTTTTCATATTTTGTTTCCTTTTTTATGTATATTTTATTTGTTTAAATTAGAAGAAAAAGGTGAAAATTATTTGACCATGTGTGGTAAAAGAAAAAAAGTGTCTTAAATTTGGGAGAAATATCGTTGTCAGTTATCATGTTAAATTTAGCGATAAAATTGTTTTACGCAATCAACTACTGGGAGTTACAACCATTTGTGCTCGAAGGGGACATAATTAGCCAAACGCATTAAGAGTTAGAGTATGTTTTGTTTGAGAAAAAAAAAAAAAGAGAGACAAATGAGGGGTTGAATATAGTTTTTTTAAGAAAGAAAAAAAACCTGTTCAGGTCTAATTATGTGAAGTAAAAGGACGGAAACTGTATGTACCAAAAAAAGAAAAGGACGGAAACTGTATTAAAAATTGTGAGAAATGACTTTGTTATCGTGTGAATTATCAGAAGTAGCAAACTGTACCCAACAATTGATATTGCCACATCATGTGCATAGAAAAATTAATCTTTTATAAGGAAATATTATAAATTGAACAACAAAAGTACAATTGGGTGATGAATTTATAAAAAAAAAACTTTAATGAAATTTTTATTAATTTATGAAATATATTTAAGTAATTTTTACGTACAGACTATATTTTTAATATGTAATTTAAACTGATAAATAAGATTCCCAAAATACCAACATGATGGCTGAGCATGTGGCGCTGCCACCAATACCTGAGCCCCTTTGTGTTGGGATTTTGACTAGTGTAGTTAGCATTTTCTTTTTGGTTTTTGTTTCGACAAGATTTTTCTTTTTTTAAACAATCTTACAAAGTGTTGAATTCGGATCGTGGTTCGGAAGGAAGAAATGCACTTAAACATGACTTAATATTTTTGGACCTTGTTTCGACAAGAATTGAGAGAAGGAAAAATACAGATATGTATACGATTTTTCTTTATTTTTAGAAATTTTCTACTCCTATTTTACAATTTATAAGCGTATATGACTTAGATATGGATGCATAACTCCATGCTCATTGGTATGTCTTCCCTTTCACTAATGTATGGTGCAGAATCAATTCTATGTTCTTTACCCAAATCTCTGTGGTTTAATATCGTCAATCTTTTTTTTTGGGCCTCAATTAATATCATCAATCCATGTCCTTAAAACTGTCTAGTTTTTGAATTTAAATTTATGGTATATCCATACTTCCCATAAAAAATGTTTGTATTTGTAATTGGTAATATATATTTTTTGGTATTAACTTTCGGTATCTGATAATCATATTAAATCTCAATTAATTCGGAATCAAACCGTATTGAACCTCATAAAGGAGAAACTCTCTCAACATTTATTTTTTCATTCACAAAACTCGAATTTGAGATTTTACTTAAGAAAATATGATTTGATGGTTTGTCCTCTACCAAACTTCATTATTAATTTTTTTTCCTTTAAGAAAATAAAAAATTTTAATTAAAATTATATATATTTTTAAAAATTTTAATTAATATTTTATATTTTTTATGATATGAAAAAACACAAAAGAAACCTTACAACTACTACACAATTGCCCAACATAGCATTTTTAGACAAAGCCTAACATTTTATTTCTCTCCATTGTTGGCAAATCTCTTCTGTAAAGCCGACTTTCTTTGCAGCTAAAAATAAAGTCAAATAACAACAAAAAAAATTAGGAAAATTCATTTCAATCCCACATAATCACGTCCTGTAGTATTTTATAAATTTTTAGGACCTCAATATTGTAAATGATAGTCATAACTACATCCTTACTACAATATGTATTATTAATTTTGATATGTATAGTAATTGAGTTTATATATTTGAGATAGTAAAATAAATGTCATCTTTTTGTTTTATAATTCATCACTTAATATATATATAAAAAAATCAGGAATAATATAGATCCAAGCCCTTTTGTCCTGATGTCCTCTATGCTAACCCCACCTGAAACTCCGCATTTGTTCCGTTTTGGCCCTCATTGGTTTACCGACATGCATGTGGCACGTAAGACGGTGACCGTTACTCCCGTCTCCTGTTAGCCGTAAACACAGACTCCACGTGGAAAAGTTCACGGTTAATTAATTTATCCCAACAAAAGCTCTTTGGTCTGGTTCGAACAGACAGGTGACGAGTGATTAACGTGAGGGTCTGATCACGTGGGGGCCCCAGTGGTGTCTTTAACCCGGACACGTCTCGACAGGACAGGCCTTCACCAAAGAGGAATGTGGGTCCCACAACTTTACAATAATGGAAAGGTTGGTGGGTCCCACCCGCCGTGGGCTCATGCGTGGGACAAAGGCATCTCTCTGCTCTCTCTTCAGTCTTTTCGCTTAATATATTGGTGGGACCAGTGCCCTCGGAGATGGTGCTACCACGTGGGGAAGATGTAATTGGGGGGAGGGGGACACGTGTATGCTTCCCGATGTGTCATTTTTCTGAGAGCGTTCACATGAGAGTCTAGTCCTCCAGTTTGAGTAGCACTAATGTGGTGCAGCTCTGGCACATGCCATCATGGTGGACGCTTAACCCTTCACCGGGCTGAGGACCCACCACGTGGCTTCGTGATGGGTTAGGTAACTCTGACAGTCTGACACGCAGTTTAAAAGTTAAATGTAAATTTTAATTCTAAACTGTTAATTTAAATTGTTTTTAGTTTTTAAATTATTTTTTTAATATTTTTTCCTCATATTTATAAAAAAAAGTGACGATAAAAAAAATAAAAATTTAAAATGAAAATTTAAAATTAA